CTGGAAAAATTAATACTTAACTTTCTTTTAGCATGCAATTGCAATATTTGGAATATCCGGTATGAGTTGCAGTGGTACAGGAAAAGAGAAGTAAACCAGCACCGGCCAACAAATGTAGAAGACCGACCACAGGCTCTTGGTTTTTACGCTGTCGTTTTGGGGATACTAAAAAACCTCATGTGGATGTGAAGAACGAGATTTTTTTATTATATAAAAAGATGCAAATTTCAAAATTGGGTTTTACTTTCCAAGGACATCTTCACGTGATGTTTCTTGTACTTTTATTTATGCACTCTAAAAAATATCTTTATCATTTAATAAATTATTTGCACTAAATGACTAGAAGGTGCAAAAAGAATATGATAGCAAGATCATTAATGTGTTAATTTATTCGATTACAAATTATTTTACATGACACTACATTAGACTATGCACAAAATCGCATCTAATTGGCACCAACTATCCCTAGTTCTAACAGATCAAACCATCGACAACCTTAGTCTGTTTTTATTTCGATACCTCTTCTTCAATCGACAATACATTACCTGTGGAGGGAGCGGAACGGTCGTCGTCACGGAGAGAGTCCAAACACTTCAGCCACCATCATCGAGTGGGTTGACAAAAACATGTGCAACCGTCTATGTTCTATTGGTGCAGGGGGGAGACGATGGATTAAGCCAATGGTTTGGAACTCGATAAAATCAAAACAAGAATGTCTTTAATTTTTTTTCTCAAGTTGTTCTGAACAATGTTTTAGTCCATGTAAAATACGTTTTTTTAGAAAAATATATATAATTTAACATTCATTAAAAAAAAATCGCATATAATTGACCATTATACTAATGTATATCATCTGTATCATATACCGACTTGAACAATACTTGCATGAAAAATAACTTGAATCAGTCAAAGAAGGCCCATTTAATCATGGCCCATTAGAGAGTGAATTTGGTGTTCTAAAAGTCCACTAATATAAAGTCAAAAAGTAGTTTTTTAACACAAAATAGAGAAAACTTTTGTTTTGGTTTCATTCTCAGAAAGCGAGCGAAGGTATAGAGAGATCCACGCCGGAAAAAATGGCGGAAATGTCTTGCCTCCAGATCCACGACACCGTTTTGAACCATCGTAACCCTACTAACCACCATCAACACCGGATACATCACCTGAGAGATCAATCGCTTTCTCAGATCCTCGATTCGCTTCCTCAATGGGTCCAATCTGACGACGACGATCTCTACGTCTCTGATCCTTCCGAATCTGGTTTCTCCGGCGACGTATCGTTGTCCGATTTAGTCTTCACGACCACCGACGGTGTTGAATTACTCGACAGGCGTAGCTTTGCCATGGATCTGTTCCACCGGCGCGTTGAACAATCTCAGGTGAGTTCGATTGATGACGGTATCGAATCGGGTTTTGGTGTGGTAGAGAGAAATCGCGACGTTGATGGGGATAGTTTGGAACTGGAATTAGGGTTGGAGTTAGAATCTGGTAGCGGTTTCGTTGAGAATATAATAGGTGATAGTGATCTCGTTGTTAACCTTAATGATTGTGATGAACTCGATGAAGACGATTTGTTTGAGGAAATGAGGTATTTAGGGATGGAGTCTGGTGATGGTATAGTTACAATGGAATTGGGTTCTGATTCTTATGATGAAGATGACCCAGAGAAGGAGAATGAGATTTGGGGAATAGACTTGAATGAAGATGTGAGTGATGATGATGATGAAGATGACCCAGAGAAGGAAAAGGAGAATGAAATTTGGGGAATAGGTTTGAATGATGGTGATGATGGTGAAGATAATGATGAAGATGACCCAGAGAAGGAGAATAAAAGTTGGGGAATAGATTTGAATGAAGATGTG